GCTAGACCGATTAGATCCCACAGACTAGGTCTCCTCCGAATTCCATCCGCCGGCCAGTGTCGACTGGCGACTACCCGGAAGAGAGCCTTCTCTGTGGCTGCTCTGACTGCTCCGACCCTCTGGAACGAACTCCCCGTGGAGATTCGAACCCTCACCACCCTCCAGGCCTTCCGCAAAGCCCTTAAGACCTGGCTGTTCCGACAGGCCTGGGGCTAAAGAACTGTTGCCCCCGTCTCAAATGGTATGACTGTTGTGTGTTTTAAATTATGTATTGTTTTGTGTCGTTTTTAATTTTTGTTTGTATCCCCCTTCCCTGGGTTGAGTTGTGAGCCGCCCTGAGTCCCCTTCAGGGAAAAGGGCAGCATATAAATAAAATAAACATTCAACATTCAACATTCATTGTGGGAAACAATTCGTTCATCGGTCTGGAAAGTTCTGTTTGTGAGAGATTTGGACACTAGTTATCTGGCAACACTCCTAACGACATAAGGTGCATTTGGATAAACATTCCTCTGAAAGATTAATAAGCTTTGCTGACTGTGAATGAAAGGCATTCACAGTCGTGTAAATAAAAGAGGTTTTGTTGGGACTAAGACTTTGCTCTTGATTTCTAAGGAAGCCTGGGTCAGATCAAATAGCTCTAAAGTACGGCAAAAATGTTGTTTATATTAAAGCAAAAAAGTTGTTTTTAAATTCAGTTATCTTCTGTTGGCCTTGGCTTTGTCACCCCTTGCTGTAGTACATTGAGTAGTGAAGAACCTTTACCTCTAGAATGCTGTGTAATTAATTAATAACATTGTTTAAGTTACTGCTTAATTTTTCAGTTCAGCTGAAACAATTGTTATGAACATTTGATAACAACTTTGATTTGTGACATGCAAATGAACCAGAATGGTAGTTTAGAATTGATTCTTCCTATCACTACCTTTTTCAGAAAAGCTTATTTGAGGTGTAAAGATTTAATTCAGGATTGGTGTCGGCAGGTTGAATATTAGATTGCTCAATCAAAATAAAAATCCATTTATTGTCTGGGATACATTATATGTATGGCACAGGACCAGGTTTTATTTTATTTTATTTTATTTATATATTTAATGTATATAGTTGCTCAACTTAGAAACCAAGGGATTCTGAGCAGGACCACATCTCCGTAAGAACACCTATCTGACCTATCAGGTCAGATAGGGTGATCATGTTCCTACTCCTTCCCTTACACATTGTCATCTCATGGGAAGTGGGCCTTTTCCATGGCAGCCCCAGCCCTGTGGAACATCCTTTCCCCTGAGGTGTGGCAGGTCCGGACCTTCCAAGCCTTCCAAAAAGTACCTAAGATCTGACTATTCCCCAAGCACTGGAATAGGGTGAAGTGGAAGAGAGGATTTAACAAGGAATTGCATGTGGAAGCTTAATTTTGGTGCTAGATTTTTTCATGTATATTGTTTTAATACGTATATGCATTTGTTTTTATTATTGATGTTTTAATTATTGATTGGGAACCACCCAGAGTCTGATATAAGACAGGCAGCTACATAAATGTTTCAAATAAATATTAAAAGCTTTAACTACCCAAGACAGAAATTAAATATTGCAAGGAGATTCCCAAACTACCTCTTCCCTGTATTTCCCTTAGCCATGTTTTAAGTGTATTATTGAGTTTTATTCCAATCAGAAAACATGATTTTAAAAGTTTTGATTTTAATGCAGTTTGTCAGAAAAGTTAATTAAAGTAAAATCAATAAACCACCATCAAGCCATCATCGCTCTCTAGAAATATTTGTCATTTGAATCCTAATGCTCTGCAGAGAAACTCAGGTGTGCATATATGAAGATTTCTTGTTCAGGTGGATGCTGGGTTGTATTCCAGCACTTTGTTCTCCTGTTTCATTTTAAGGAGCATTTCTAATTATCAGGCAGCATAACCAACCTTTTCCTTATTTGCTATATAAATCAGCAAAAGAATCCAATTAAATGTGTACAATTTTCTTTGCATTAAAAAAGAAGTAACTTAGGTTGGCAGGTAATGCTCCAAAGCCTGAAGATTTAGGAAATTTATGAATGGCAGGATGATAACCCAAACCAACTAAAAGCTGGTATTCCAGAACTTTCAGAAATCTTTCAACTTCTCTCTTGCACAGACTTTGTACCTTTTTCCACAGCATTGTGTAATATGAAGATTAGAAAAGAAGCAGGCAATAACATGCTAAAAATGATTAATATTATTTATTTTGTAGATGAGAGACTTGGGTATTGATTTTTTAAGAGTCTGATCAAATTGGCACATTAGCTAAAGTAGAGGTTCTCTATGTGAGTAGAATTTGTTTGTATGTCAGATGGATGTTTACTTTTGAAAATATCTGAACGGATTATAGACAACATCATCTTTTGGTCCATAAATTGGACTTTAGCTTCTACTTTTGTTTCTTTGTCTTTACAGGGATCTTTTGATCCTACTATGCAGCTGCATCTTGTGCATCGAGCACCGTGCACCATCCCTCCTTACGTTTCAAAAAACCAATCTACACTTGGAGAGCTATTGCTAGGCTTCCTGAAATACTACGCTACAGAATTTGAGTGAGTGATCAACCTTTCATTTTAACAAATCCTCTGGTTGCTTTGTTCTGCTCTGGTTGCAATTTATATAGAGGAGTTCCAAATCCTCTCTTATTTTCATTTAAGGAGCAAAGGGTTCCTTTTTGGTAATTTGTTTATAATGGTAAAAGAAATGTGAATAGAGATAAGCTAAACGCTTGCATGTACAAAGCGGTCTTAAAATGTACGACATAATCTACCCTGTTTCCCCGAAAATAAGACCTCCCCAGATAATAAGCCCAATCAGGCTAAAGTAAGCCCTCCCCCAAACTAAGCCCTCCCTGAAAATATTGCAATACAGCAGCATCCATGAGGTGACCATACTCTCTACCTCCTGCACCTCAAAAATAATAAGACCTCCCCCAAAATAAGGCCAAGCGCTTATTTTGGGGGGCAAAAGAAAATAAGACCCTTCCTTATTTTTGGGAAAACACAGTACTAGTTAGATTACACAATCTCTGGTTCAGATTTCTATGGAGATTCTCAGTCATCCAGATCATGGTTGTCCGAAAGGTGCTTTTTCAAAAGGCAACTGGACTTTTTTTTTGTTTCTTTGAAGATGTTTTGCTTCTCATCCAAGAAGCTTCTACAGCTTTCTAGTCGACTGCCATTCTTTTTATTGCTTGTAAATAAATTCCACAGAACGGTGTGGGAAGTGACCAGTATTTTCAGGACTAGCTTTACGTTTATAAACTTCTTGGAGTTTGTAACATTCCTCTGTGCTTTGAATAGGAGATAGGAAAATTATGAGTTGTGTCTCCTAGAAGGATTTTGATCAAATTTGAAGGAGACAGATATGAAGAATAGACAGGAAATGCAGTCTTTGCAGTGCTCCAGTTTCTGGAGAAGTCAGGAGGGCAGAGGATGTGTTGCATGAAGCTAACAGAAAGTGCCCAAACCTAGGCAGGGCATTCTTCAGAGCTGGGATGAGTTACAGTAGCTGCTGGCCACTTTAAGCCTGACAGCTGGGCAGTCTACAGCTCAGACAGGACAATTACTGATGCCACATCTGTATAGGAGAAAATGTTCGCTACCTCGTATACAAAGAGATACCCCAACCTTTTCCTGCGTTAGTGGGATAGCAAAGATTTTATGGTTTCAAAACTGATCCAGAAATGGCTGGATCAAGGCTAAGAAAACAGGTGGCTGGCAATAACCTCAGACACATGGATTAAAATCTGGAATTTCCAGGAAAAAAACGCACTCGGAAAAACTAGAACACATGCTTTTGAAGGAATTGGGATTTCATTTCTGTCTGCAAGTACACCAATTGTGTATATTGCAATATATTATACATATATTGGGTTGTGTTTGAGGAAATTGGTATCTTTTGTGATTTTAAAACAATAACTTGAAATTTCATTCTATTCTTTTTAAAGTGAGTTTATCTATAATACATCAGCTTGTGCTCTGCTTGGAACATTGTAGCTTTTATGAAATTGGGCCGTCTTCCAAGGAAGGGCCAAAACATTTTTTACACTCAATTCTATATGAATAGCAAGTGGCACTGTTAGAATTGTTTCTTTTTTTCTTTTTCAACCATTTATTTACCAGAATAATGTCCGAGCCTAATCTAATTAACATGCCAGGATAAGGGAGTCGATATCTGGTGGGGTACTTATTGGAAGATGCATGATGGCAGCAGGATCTTCCATGTTGCACTACTCCAAAACAGCAGACAGACTCCCATGTGAAGATTCAGAGGGTTTCTAAGACCTCTGGGCATCTACCCTTAGGGTTTAAGTCTTTATTTTTAAAACAAAAGTATTGTCTTGTGCCTTGTACACACAGGCATAGGCATATATTTTTTCCTGTTTTCTAAACATTTCTAAGCTTGTTTAGCGAAGGTAATAGAGGTTTGCTTG